CCCTCATGGAGCATCAAAGCACTCTTTGGGGGAGAAATAGAAGATTAAGGATGTAAAGAATTCTTTCACGATGCTTGGAGGGGTGAGGAAAGATGGCCAGCTGGAAGCAGCAGAGAGAAGTCCGGTTGTTGTTAGAATACCCCACGAGCACAGCTAAGCACAGCTGAATGTGGTTTCTGAAGTCACCGATGAACACATCAGTCTGGGAATGGAGCTCCAGCTGTGAGCACAATCAGATGCGATAAGCTTCTCCAAGACCTACTGAAATCATCCATCTTTTCTCACAGACAGGTGGACACAACAGGCACCCTGTGATAAGAAGCCAAAGGGGGCACTTCCTCTGCCCTTTCAGCAGCAACTCACACTGTGCTCACCATCGGTGCCACCAGCCCAGCCCAGCCCAGCCGCACACAGAGGGGGACATCAGCAGTCAGCCGGCATGGCAGTTTGGTGACTCAAGTCTTCGGCTAAGAGTCATGCCTTTACTTGTCCCAAGAAGTGGCACTGGAACAGAAACCTCACATATTATAGCCAAACCCTCATACAGCTCTTGGGTGTTTTGCAGGAAATTCCACAAAATTGAAAGTCCCAGAGTTCAACCGGTCTATTTTTGAACTGGGTGAGAGAGCTTACAGACCGCTGCGTACTTCCACCAGTCCTGCAGGACAGTAATGGAGTCAGTTTGGGTTCAAACACAATATACATGCTGCTGCTTTCTGTCTAGAGCAAAAACATCAAGAACCATGCTTATTCTGTTTATCCAAAGATTTCCTTACTCCTATCAAAGTAATCATTACTTTTACAACATTAACTTCAATCTAGAAAAGGGAACTGTCAAACATGAGGGCAACCTGGTTTGTTACCCAGGAAGGTCTTCCAAGGGGTCATAGTTTATGTCTATGGAACATAGTTCATGTCTATGGAACTCCTCTCTCCTCCAGAGTTTCTTTAGAAAGAAAATAAAGGGAAACTGAAGCTTACTGCATCAGAAAAACCACTGCCATCGCACAAAGATTTGGAATAGAAAAGAACCTGGGAGCCTCCAACTTTGACAGTGTCTTTTGAGGCTGAAACGTCAGTTACTTGAACAGAGTCTGGAAGTTCATTCTGTTGGAATTTACCCCGGTTAGTACTTCCACAGCCTTCTACTGCGGGGGCTCTGGTGGTCTACAGTCAGGTCTTTGAGTTCTAGCAGATGCAACAACCCTTAACAAAGACCTAATGTCAAACCCTCATGTAGTTGCTAATTAGTAAATGCATTCTTGGGTCTTCACCACTGCAATTACAAGCCAAATCCTGCTCTTTCTGCTGCACTAATATGTGGTGTATGTCCCAGTCAACAAGCTGAGCCCCTCATGCTTACATTCAAAATAAGGGGAAAGGTTTCAGGGTACGGTGAAACAAGGTCAGTGACACCAAAGGGAACAAACAAGTCTGGAAGGTGGGATATTCTACAGGACACCTGATCCTGTTTTTACAGTAAGTCAATGACATGGGGGAAAGGGAGGAAGAAAGGGGAGCTTGCTCATTCTAGATTGAATGAACAAAGAGACTAGACGTGATGGGTGGACTTCATGTGGATCCTGATTAGAACAAAAATACTGTCCAGATGCATTCCTGACCTTCAAGAAAATCTGATTTTACCTGGGTGTTAGGTGATACCAAGGAATCATGGTTGATTTTGTTAGGTGAAATAATGGCATTATGGTTTATACAAGAACATGATCGTATTTTCTAAAGATATTTACTGAGGGATGTAGGGATAAAAGGACATGCTATCTAGGATTTTAAATGTTAAAGCTATTTTGCAGCTTTTAAATGCTTTAGCAAAGAAAAGAGAAATGGAGACTTCTGTGAAGTAACTGATGTAAAATCTTGATAATTGTTAAATCTGAGTACATAATGGTTCAACGTACTATTCACTTTATTTTTAAATATGTTTAAGTTTGTTCGTGCTTAAAAATTCATGTGAGGGGGGCGCCTGGGTGGCTCAGTGGGTTAAGCCGCTGCCTTTGGCTCGGGTCATGATCTCAGGGTCCTGGGATGGAGTCCCGCGTCGGGCTCTCTGCTCAGCAGGGAGCCTTCTCCCTCCTCTCTCTCCGCCTGCCTCTCTGTCTACTTGTGATCTCTCTGTCAAATGAATAAATAAAATCTTTAAAAAAATAAAAAATAAATAAAAAATAATTCATGTGAGGGGGGCCTGGGTGGCTCAGCTGGTTAAATGGCTACCTTCGGCTCAGGCCATGATCTCAGGGTCCTGCAATCAAGTTCCAAGTCAGGTTCCCTGCTCAGCACAGAGCCTGCTTCTACCTCTCCCTCTGCCCCTCCCCACAGCTCATGCTCACTCTCTCTCTCAAATAAAGAAAATCTTTACAAAAATAAAATAATAGGGACACCTGGGTGGCTCAGTTGGTTAAGCAGCTGCCTTCGGCTCAGGTCATGATCCCAGCTCAGGTCATCGAGTCCCACATTGGGCTCCTTGCTCAGCAGAGAGCCTGTTTCTCCCTCTGCCTCTGCCTGCCTCTCTGCCTGTGCTCGCTCGCTCTCTCTCTCTCTGACAAATAAATAAATAAAATCTTTTAAAACAATAATAAAAAAATAAAAATTCATGTGAAAAAATTAAAGCACTGAACTTAAAATCTCTGGTAAATAAAATGTATAAAAGTCCCCAAATCTATAATACAGAAAAGAGTTTATAAAAACACAAGGCAGGGCACCTGGGTGGCTCTGTTGGAAGAATATATGACTCTTGATCTCAGGGTTTTGAGTTGGAGCCCCGAGTTGGGTGCAGAAATTACTTAAAAAATAAAATCTTAAAAAAAAAAAAAAGTTTTGCCTTTTCCTCTAAACAAATTTCTAAGAAGCAGCAATGACGCGTCTCCTGGCAGCCACAGAACCTAGGCGGCTCTTGTCCCTCTTCAAATGGAGGGTGTACTCCATATCCACAGGGCAAACTGAGAGGACCTGTCTCTCCCCAGCCAACAGACCCAGCCAAGAACCGGCTTCAGAGGGCACCTGGGTGGCTCAGTGGGTTAAGGCCTCTGCCTTCAACTCAGGTCATGATCTCAGGGTCCTGGGATCGAGGCCCGCATTGGGCTCTCTGCTCAGCAGGGAGCCTGCTTCCCCCTCTCTCTCTGCCTGCTTGTGATCTCTCTCTCTGTCAAATAAATAAATAAAATCTTAAAAAAAAAAAAAAAAAAAAGAACGGCTTCGGAGAGCTCAGCCTCCCTGTCCCATTTCCATATGGTTTCTCTGACTGGGGCCCCGGTTGGGTAGGGACAGGAATGTTTGCTTATTTTAACATATGGATTTTTCTGGTCTCTGAAACAAGGTGAGTTACACAAAGATGATCCCTGTTAAATCCTGGTACCATAATGCTTCAAGAGATTAACACACCTTCTTTGGACAAATATATATATATTTATATATTTATATATGTATTTATTCTTTAAATCTATATTCTAATCTTATTACTAAGTACATTCCATGGGGTGCCTGGATGGCTTAGTTGGCTAAGCATTTGCCTTTGGTTCGGGTCATGATCTCAGGGTCCTGGGATCCAGCCCTGCGTTGGGCTCCCTCTGCCCTCTCCCTCTCCCCGCTCTGTCCCTCCCCCCGCTCATGCTTTTCCTCTCTCTCAAATAAATTAAGTAAAATCTTTCAAAAATTAAATTAAGTTTTAAAAAAGATTAGTACAATCCTGGGGCACCTGGGTGACTCAGTCGGCAGAGTGTCTGACTCTTGGTTCTGGCTCAGGTCATGATCTCGTGGTCGTGAAATCAAACCCCACATCAGGCTCCGCACTCAGTGCAGAGTCTGCTTCAGATTCTGTCTCCCTCTCCTTTTCTCTCTCTAAAACAAATAAATAAAATCTTTAAAAATAATAAGTACATTCCTGAGTTCCTTCAAAGAACACTGGTATTTTAATTTTTAAGTAACAGATTACTTTACATTACTTTACATTCCATTTTACTCCTATCAGTGACACACAGAATATAAATAGAGCTCATTACAGGATAAAAACTCAGTAGTTTCTTTTTTTTTTTTTAAGATATTTTATTCATTTATTTGACAGAGACAAGAAATCACAAGTAGGCAGAAGTAGGCAGAGAGAGAGGGAGAAGCAGGCTCCCCGCTGAGCAGAGAGCCCGATGTGGGGCTCGATCCCAGGAGCCTAGGATCATGACCTGAGCCGAAGGCAGAGGCTTAACCCACTGAGCCACCCAGGCGCCCTGAAAACTCAGGAGCTTCTAACTTAGTGGCCATGTAGACCCTCAGTTCAGGAGTCACAAACTGCAAATGATTTTTAAAAATGACCCTTAGGGCACCTGGGTGGCTCAGTGAGTTGGGCGACTGCCTTTGGCTTGGGTCATGATTCTGGGGTCCTGGGATCGAGTCCCACATCGGGCTCCCCCTGCTCTGTGGGGAGCCTGCTTCTCCCTCTTCTTCTGCCTGCTACTCCCCATCTTGTGCTCTCTCTCTCTCTCTTTCTGTGTCAAATAAATAAATAAAATCTTAAAAAAAAAAAATGACCCTTAGTTCCTCCTAATGCAGAAAGTCAAATAATGATCTGGCAAGTTGGTCACTGTGACAGTGAATCCTTATATTGCCCCAGAGGCCATTGTTTTCTCCTTCAACTCCCTCTCTGAAAAAGATGAAACAAGATAGCTTACCCATTTTCTGTGACTTTTGTAATCTACTTAAATAGCAGCTACACTCCAAATCAACTTCAGCATCGTAAGAATTGTTATAGCTCTGTTAAAACCCTTTACCTACAGAGTTCACCATTCTTCTTCTACCTTCTAATTATTCTCCAAGACAATCTATTGGTAAAGTCACCATCACCACTTGAATTTCTGGGTTATAAAATGTATGCATACTCCCCCATGCCAATTTCTGGATTTTAAGAATGCTATTTCTCCCTTTGAATATTACTAATGTAATTCCCTGAGTTGGTTTACCTTATATGTATGATTAGAAATAATGAGAAATCCTCAGGCTCAAATTTAAATCATTTTGTAATTAAGCACTGATTGTACAAAACACTGTTCAAAAGGTGAGCTTAAACTGACAAGTGAATTTGTTCATGTGAACTGCCTTCCACATACATGATGGCTAAGACGTGCACCGGGTTTGACACACACTTTAGAAAAAAAAATCACACAGAAGCGGCTGCTTTTTCAATAAACTTGGCCAGTTTCACATCTCTCTTGGTCAGTCCACCATAGTCGTGCGACGTTAGGGTTATCTGCACCTAAGAAACACAGAAGCAGCTACAATTCATGGTTCTCGTCTTGGGTAGTTCAGAAATCAATCTATTCTTCAACATTCACATTTGACAACTGGGGAGATTAAATGATTTACAAAATACTACATTATGAATAAGCATAGCATTTCTAAAACCTAATGAACTCCAGGGACACAGTCTGCTTCAGACTGGGCCCAGCACCTGCCCAGGGACAAAAAGGTCCTCTCATGTGAAGGGCAATTCAGCAGCCCGAATCTGAAATCTTGTCTCTCAAAAAAAAAAAAAAAGAGAGAGAGAGAGACTAAGGTTTCATTTTCACTCCCATTACTTTAATTACATGACTATTTTCAGGCCACTGAGAAAGACCAAGCTATCAAATGTAGTACCTTAGCAACTACATTCAGAAAAGCCCATTTCTAAATTAGGGAAGTGGGTCAGAGGTGGGGTGGAGGAAAAGACTGTGGCTTCTTGAAAAATCAATTAAAAAGCACAAGCAAAATTATGGACAAAGAGAGGCAAGTAGGAAGGAAAAGTTTATCATGGTACCTGCGTATTCTGACCTATTCCAATAAATCACAAGTACACCAGAGAATGTTCTCTTCTTCAAAGAGACTTTTTAAAGAGAAAACAGAACCACACAGAAATCTAGATGACAAGATATTTCAAATGGCATATGACCATAAAGGCAAGGACATTTGGGGTGGGGGTGATTCTTCTTACTGAGCCCCCTTAAAAACTACTTAAAATCTTTTTAGCCTGCTCTTTGTCCTAAGAAGGCCAGTTCCTACTTAGAATGTAGAATTTAATAAACAGTTGTTTTTAAAGCAAGTTCTTGAGCATAATTATTTCAGTAAGGTAAATAAGGCTGTATCTCTCTTATTCGCTACCATAACTTTAAAAATTTATCTTAGGAGGGTTTAACATGTATCTTACATTTTAATTCAGGAGCCTCACTTGGCCCAAATGGCTCATAATAGTTTCAGTAGACGACAAGCATGAAAATAGAGAGTTTGGTCACTGATGTCTTGAGCAGATTGGAAAATTTGTTACTAATTTGCAATCATACCCATGGATCCTCAGGGAAAGACTAAGAGATGCTTTCCTAAGCACTACTGATCACACTTGACACATGGGATAACAAGGAAGAACAAAGTTTCTCAAACTCCACTGACCAGGTGATCCCCAAATAAGGCAATTTAGTTACCTTGTTGTACACATTGAACCATTCCGGGTGATGATTCATCTTCTCGGCTTGCAGGGCGACTCGGGACATGAAGCCAAATGCCTGCATGAGACAAAGCTGAAAGTGATTAGTGGCACTGCCTTCTACTCTGGACCTTCGAGCGAGAGAGAGAGACCAGTACAATCCAGCCAGATAAAGACAAGGCTCAGATCCTTAGGGAAACCTGGAGAAATCCAATAGGAAGGGGACTGCTCTCCACAGAACTGGGGTAACGGTGTAGCAGGACCGTGACCTGTTGCTCAATGGTGAAAAACAATCAGGCTCAAATAAACAAACCAGGAAATTGGTCTCACCCAGTGACCTGTCTGGACTATTTAATTGTCCTCAGGACAAGACTCGCCAAAATAGCACGGGAGTAATTTCCCTTCAACCAAGTGCCCTGGATCTCACTACCTGGCCCCAAATCTTAGGGGCTACTTTTCTTGTATCCCCACTCCCTTTGTATTTGGTTGCTGGGTTGCTAACTAAGGCATCAATCCCAAGACTATGGAAAAAATATCTTACTGAGCAGCATCCCCCATCCTAGCTCCCAGACAGGACTGGAGGGGATAAGAGACTTTTTTTTTTTTTTTTTTTTTTTTTTTTTTTTTTTTTGACATCTAGGGTGAAACAGGGAAGTCTGCCTTGCCTGCTCGGGGTCTCCTTGCTATTGTCCCCGTGCCCTGTGGAACAGGAAGCCTTCACTCCTCCCCGAGCAGGGAATGAAGGACTCAGGCACACACCTAACTGTGGACCTGTAGGGCTCTATCTTCATTCCACAGAGAAAGTACAAACCTAATTTTGCTAATCAGAAGGCAAACTTGTCCTGAGAGGACGAAAAGCTTTTTCTCTTTTGCTTGCTTTCCAATTTTTATGATAGTAATTGCAAACAATAGGAGAGTCTGTCTCTAATGTGTCCAGAAGGCAGAAATACTTGGTAAGACTCTAAGGTAATGGTACAGTAACTACAAATTTACAGTGGAATTCACAGGGCAGTAACCACTGTAGCCACATAAATAAATATTTAACTTCACAACCCCTATCCAGAAAAGCTGGAGTGATGGTAGTGGAACTGTGTTTTCTGAATCACCAAACTGACATTAGAGCACTTTTCCAAGTTAAGAGTGAGAGGTATGGAAGATGCCATTTTAAACCATTCTATGTGATTCATAATGGTTCTTATGTCAGAATGATTTTATTTAGGAAAAAGACTCTCATTTTGGTCTTTAATTAAAGGCATGAAGGTTTTTCCCTGTCAGGATAAGGAAGAATATTCAAGCAAAATCCATCTAACCATGTATGGAATTATCAGTGGAAAACAATATTCACTCCCCCCTTCCTCTTCTCATCTCATATTCTGATCTCTAGATTGCATCAAATGTGAAAATCTTTTAATTATTCAGAGTTAACCTGCATTAAACTATGCATAATGAGAATTTTTTAGTCTATTTGCCTCTAGTGCCTTATTCTTGTTTAGCTTTAAGACTTCCAAAAAAGTTAACCACAATTCCTGAGAAAGGGTAATAGAGTCATTAAGGGCATAGGCTTTTGAGCCAGGGAGGCCTGAATTCAAATTCCCATGCTACAGCCTATCATGTGAGCCTAAGTTCCCTGTTCAGTATACTGAGGATAATAATAAAAAGCTCATGCATTCATCCTAATAAAAAATGAGATGGGGATATAAAAGCACTTAGCATAGCACTTGGCCCTGGGTAAGAGACCAGTAGTGGCAGATACTGCTACCATATGCTGCTCTGGCAAGGCTGCACAAGGTATGTGCATCACACACATCGTCACAAAATGTAACTATAGGTGAAAAGCCCTCCCATAGCCTTAAGATTCTAAGACTCCAGTTACTGTCTCCCAGAAGAATGGTGCTTTCCTATCCCACATGCCATAAATACTCAAACCCACACACCAGACAGAGATCACATACTACAGGGTAACACCCTGATGTACGCTGCCTGGGGAAAACACCTTAATGACAAGATATTAGGTGGGCAAAGTCAGTCACTACCCAAGTTCTATGGTCACAATTTGTTTGAACTATGCAATCCTAAAGGCCCAAAGTGAGGCTTGGCATCCCTTACTATTTCCCAAGAACCAAGTGGATCAAGGGGATGATTTGAAAAGAGTCAGAAGTGCTCCTCAAAGCTTTGATTACCAGCATGCTATCAGCACGTTAGCAAAATCTACTCTATCACAGATAGGGCTTAAAAGAGAACACTCCTTGGGGGTCCCTGGGTGGCTCAGGCAGTTAAGCATCCAACGCTTGATCTCAGCTCAGGTCTCGATCTCTTGGTGCTGAGTTCGAGCCCTACAATGGGCTCCACACTCAGCATGGAGCCTACTTAGAGAGAGAGAGAGAACACCCACAACCGAAGAGTTACACTGATCAAAGAAAAACCTTGTACGCCTGGGTGGCTCGGTTGGTTAAGCATTTGCCTTCGGCTCAGGTCATGATCCCAGGGTCCTGGGAATGAGACTCACATCGGCTCCCTGCTCAGTGGGGAGCCTGCCTCTCCTCTTCCTCTGCCTCCCACTCTGGCTACTTCTGTACTCACTCTCGCTCTCTCTCTAATAAATAAAATAAAATAAAATACTGTACCCCTGGGGATAAAAATATACTATATGTTTATAAAAAATTAAAAAATTTAAAAAAAGAAAAAATAAAATAAAATAGCCTTCTACCATATCTACATAAAATGTAAAAAGAAAAAAAAAGATACTTTCAAAGATCCTCCAAACTTATGTATTCCTCAGCTTTATATATTTCCCTTCAACTGTCACCTAACACTTGCATTTAACAAAATATCATAAGCCTGATAAACAACTTACACAGGATCTACTCCTAATTCTTCCCAAGGGAAAGAACACTTGCTCCTGCTCTGGGAGCAGGGAGAAAATTTCATAATCCTTCTTCCATAGAACAGAACTAAATAGTCCCCAAAATATTTATGTTTAAATCCACAAATTAAAAACATTCACAACAAAACACATTCAAATTAAAGTATAAGTATTTCTGCAAGGAACTGAAATGAGAGGACAGGAGAGGGAAAAAAGCAAAACCTCAAAAGGGAATTTTGATTATCTGGCATTAATAAAGAAAGAATGTTACTTAACAGCAAAACTGGCAGATAGCGAAAAGCATCTGTCCCTTCTTTCCAAGATTTCTTTTTTACAGCCCTAGCTACTTGTTCCCAGGAAGCCAGGTGGAACCTACAAGCCTTAAGCTAGCTCAGACTCCAGGCTTTCTAAAACCATGTCATCGATGAAAACTGCAAAGAGCCTGAGGCAGAATACACACCACTAACAATCCAGTAAGAAGCTGAGGGGCCAGGACTAGTAGACAAAAAGAAGCAGAAGTCAGCAAGAGTTTATAAGAATTAGAAAATAAGTAGAGAACACAAAGTACATCTAACATACATGTAACTTTAGCGAATAAGAGAACAAACACAGAAAGAAATGAGATAAAGGATTCAAAAGTTTTTTCTAGAAATAAAATATTTCAATCTATAGATTGAAAGAATGCAACCATTTCTAGACATCCTAGTGAAGTTAGGGAATTTGAAGATTAAAAAATCCTTATGGCACTTAGTCACAAAGATCAATTCACCGACAAGGAATGAAAATAATGTGGCTGACTTTAAACTTCCACATACCGGCACTGAACAAAAGAAGTCAGAGAAGCAGTGCCTACAAAGATTTTAGGAAATCAAAGTGCAAAGAATTTTATATCCAGCTAAACTGTTTTCAAAATTACTACAAGAGACATAATTTTTACAAGACATTAATTCAGGAAATAATTCCCCTTCATCCCTACTGAGGAAACTTTTTTTTTTTTTTAAGATTTTATTTATTGGGGCGCCTGGATGGCTCAGTGGGTTGAGGCCTCTGCCTTTGGCTCAGGTCATGATCTCAGGGTTCTGGGATCAAGCCCCACATCAGGTTCTCTGCTCCGCAGGAAGTCTGCTTCCTCCTCTCTCTATGCTTCCGCCCCTCCCCCCACCCTGCCACCGCCTGCCTCTCTGCCTACTTGTGATCTCTGTCTGTCAAATAAATAAACAAATTCTTTTGGTCTAGGATTATACTTAAAACAATGTGGGGGGGGGCACCTGGGTGGCTCAGAGGGTTAAAGCCTCTGCCTTCGGCTCAGGTCATGATCCCAGGGTCCTGGGATCGAGCCCTGCATCGGGCTCTCTCCTTGGTGGGGAGCCTGCTTCCTCCTCTCTCTCTCTGCCTGCCTCTCTGCCTACTTGTGATCTCTCTCTGTTGAATAAATAAATAAAATCTTTTTTTTTAAGATTTTTATTTATTTATTTATTTGAGAGAGAATGAGTGAGAGAGAGCATGAGAGAGGAGAAGGTCAGAAGGAGAAGCAGACTCCCCAAGGAGCTGGGAGCCTGATGCGGGACTCGATCCTGGAAGTCCGGGATCATGACCTGAGCCAAAGGCAGTAAGTCGCTCAACCAACTGAGCCACCCAGGCACCCAAATAAATAAAATCTTTAAAAACAAACAAACAAACAATGTGGGGATTGTAGTCACTGAATGGAATGCAAATGTTATAAACTATTAAAAGATGTGGAAGAAAAAGAGAAGAAATGGGGATGGTAAATGAAAGTTTAAAAAGCCTGAAAGCTAGAAGATCCAAAGCATATTTCAAGGTGTAAAACTAAGCACTAGAACTAAAAATATATTGTAACAAAACTGCATGGTGAAGGGAAAGTAAGAGAAAGTATGAGTTTAATTTTGACACTGCTTAGTGGGGAGACCACTATCTAAAGAAATGTTATCTAAAGAAACGAGATTAAGTTTACCTCATAAAATTATAACAGCATCCACAAGAAGAACAAAAATAATAATGGAAAAAATTCACAATTAGGTCAAAGAAAGCACAATTAAAATGAAGCAAACAAAGCACATCCAGGGTACCTGGATGGCTCAGTAGGTTAAGCATCTGCTTTCAGCACAGGTCATGATCCCAGGATCCTGGAATCCAGCCCCACATCGGGCTCTGTGCTCAGCAGGGAGTCTGCCTCTCCCTCTGCTCCTCCGCCTCCC